AATTATAGGCGATATTCATCATCAGTTCTTGTATTTAGACTATTTTAAAAAACAAATCTTAAAATGAACCAATAAAAGAATCGTATGAACATCTTAAGACATTACTTAAGACGATCTGAAGATAACTGATCATAAGAATGGGTTATGAATGCGGCTTGAGAAAATAGGATCATTTCTCTTAATTAAAAAAAAAAAAGATAGAGAATGGGAAAAGGATAAGTGAAATGATCGAATTCGCACGGAAGCCTAATTAAGTCTTTTATTGCGAGAAATTCTTTTCCATTCTCAGAGGGACTTTTGCGAAAGAGGTTCAATCTATTCGCGCGTTTTCACGAACACACACGCGTCTGTCAAATGTACTACTTAATTGATATTCGCCCCACATGCTTCGCCAAACGCACGCGCTCCTGTCTGTATAGTATTCCTGACAGGTTGTTCGGTCTATTACTACTCCGGAAATTATCAGCGAGGCATGAAAAGGCTGCGTAGTCTCTCTCGATTCTGTCGAAATCGGGAACGTGCGGATATAACATGGACTACGCATTGTGCCTTGCGTAGTCCATCTATTTATTCAGAACAACCGTTTGCACGGTTTAAATCGTAGTTACGTGGTAACTTACAGTAAAACGCGAATGAAATCTGTACGTCGCGCGCGTACGTAATTTTTTTATTCGATCAGAGAGAAAGAAGGAAATCTATTCAACCGAGTCAGAAAAGAACCTCATGGGTTTCTCGGCGCAATGAAACTGGCTCGTTAATGGCCTAATTAAATATCAAGCGCTATCTAAGTAATTAGGCAGATTCATCTAGTGGATGTTCCGTATGGCCGAATCCAGGTAATAAAGAGATAATGGAAATAATGGCCGGCGCGGCAGGATGTATAGATATGAGAGAAAGAGAGGGATGATAATGAGAAGCTCGATCAATGGCTCGATCAACAATCGTTCATTCCTCCGGAAGAAGTTTGGTCCTCAATGTCGGCAGATCGTTACGGGAAACGCTCATAGCTTCCATTATGCAAAGTAATAATAGATAACGTTAATTAATGCACTATGTTGTTCCGCTTGTCCCATCAGACGGCTCTGTTTGCAGCTGGTGGCCTCGCGCGTCTCATCTCGCGATGTACCAGAAGGCTTTTCGCGAAGATACGTATCCGGCCCAATCTGTATCTGACTTGTGAGAATAAACAAACTATTAAAATTCGCCAGAAATACATATGCTCGTACAGTGTGGCAGTCTATTGGATGTGTCTGTTTTACGATTTGAGAACGATGAGATGAAGTCCTCGCGGCGCGAAAGTCGCAAAGCTATCTTACGTATAAATATATATTATGTTAAATATATGTTACTATATATACAGGGTGTCACAAAAGTGTAAATAAATATTTTTAAGACAGATTCTTTGTAACACTTTAAGACAAAAAGTTTCAAACAAAAACGCTATGATAGTTTCACACACACAAAATGGAAAGAATTTGAAAATTACGAATGACAGGGCTAGAATTTTATTCAGAGATAGTAAAATGATGAGTGAAGGGATTAAATTTTGTTATTATCAAAAAAATTATATAAAGTATCAGAGGAAATTAGCCTTGGCATTTTTGTATTAGACTTTTTGTCTTATTATAAAATGTTACAAAGAGATCTTTAGAATACTTATCGT